TGGGGGGGGGGACGGGCTCGGGGGGGGGGTTCGTTCGAACCCCCCGAACCCCCCCTGGCTACGGGCCTGGTCAGGAGAACATAATATGCAAGGCAAATATATGTTCTTTTATTTTGCAACGTTTTTTTATGGTTTTAAACAAAATGTAGGCATATCTTTGTGAGATTTCCCAGTCCTAATTTCAAGTTTGCTTGTTTGGTGAAAAATATGTATAGATTTAACATATGTATTTTACACATGTATTTCCTGTGTGTGCATGGGTCTATTTTCCATTATTTGTATATCTGTGTATGTGAGTGAGTGCGTGGTTGGGTGTGTTACATGAGTGTACCTATATACCCACACTAGGAGTATGATTTGTGTGTTCGTGTAGACATACGTTCATCACCTAAGAGCGTGTGCATGTAACATATGTATCTACAGTAGACCAGCAGTCATTGTTGCAATCCCGGGGCCTGTTGCTGGAAACAAAATTATAGTCCTAACAATAGTCTTAACATTAACTTTGACTCGTAGACCGTTGACAGAAAAATCGTAAAGTTACGAGAACGAAAAATCCTTGCAAATTTATACTAAAAATTACGAGATCCTAGACCCTCTCGTAACTTTAAGACTAAGATGAAAATAATGCAACTACACAAAGAATTGCGATTACAGTGATATTATATTTTATATTAATTAGTATAACGCATGTTTTTAATGAAAAACACGTCAGAAACATTACTTTTTGTACTGATCGTGTACCAAAACAAACATTTGCAAGTGGCGTTTGTTCTATTTTTTCTACATTTTATTGAGTCACAATTTAACTCTTGCATCTTGTGTTGCTGTGCAGAATCAATTTATGAATGTGCCGTTTTTTAATCAGATATTATTTATGTGTGGTTTACCAGCATAATATGCATAAATTGCTGTGATGTACAATAAATGTGTATGCACGCAAGTTTGTGATTGATTCTCATGCAATCAGCAGCTTTGTGACAGCAAATTATTATGAAGTTCATTATCCTGTTATCGTAAGTTTTCTCATATCTGCGATGCATTTCTGTCAACGCTACTCTCGTAACATTAACAATTTAACATTAGTCGTAAAGTGCTAACTTAGCATTAATTAGCCTTAACTTTACGATGTTTCTGATAATGGCCCCTGGGCTGTGGGCTTGGGTTGGTGAGTCCATCACGGTACCAATGCATGTTGGTGAGCATACATAAGTGTGTGATACTAACAGTGTGTGTGAGTGCCTGGGGAGAGGTGCTTAGTACCAAGAGCATATATGCTGTTGATAGTAAACATATGTGCCAGATGGAGGCTTACTACTATAAATATTATAGATATATATGTTAAAATAAAATAGGCCAATTGTGTTTTCTGTGGTTATGATGATACCCAATGAGGATTGTGTAAAATATTGTTCCATGCTGTATTTATAGATTTTCTGATGTGTTTCGATCATTGCATCACTTTAGTTTTCACATACTATTAATGTCGATTTTTATGTATAGATTTTTTAAATATTTTTCATTGCATCATTTGAGTTTTCACACACCGTTCTACAAGAGTATCAGCTAAATAAGTAAGCTGAGCTTACTGGCTGTTCCTTAGGTGGTAGAATCAAAACAATGACTCCTTGTCCTAACATTTTGTTCTGCACAGTGTTGTCAGTCACATTTGTAGTCAGAAGAAACCTAAATTTAGCCCCATCCTAAACCAAAGTATAGCTGTTCCTTGGATCATAGTCCTAGATGTTGTTATAACATTAGGGTTGTAATGCGTGTGTATTTACCTACCAGTCGCTAACGTGTTATTTCATGTTTGCAGTGAGCACGTTCACAAAGGGTGAACAGATGATATCTGTGCTGAACAAGAGTAACGTTCGTATTGCCGTATTTGGTAACCACGACTTCGGTGAGTTATTGTGTTGTTGCTTTGGTTCCCAGACTCATATGCTGTTCCTATGACTCAAAGCTCTCACTCCCAGTGCCATAATGTCACTATGGCTCGCTACCTGCCATGATGTCACTATGGCTTCCCACCTGCCGTGATGTCACTATTGCTTACTACCTGCCGTGATGTCACTATTGCTTCCTACCTGCCGTGATGTCACTATGGCTCCCCATCTGCCGTGATGTCACTATTTCTTCCTACCTGCCGTGATGTCACTATGGCTCCCCACCTGCCGTGATGTCACTATGGCTTCCCACCTGCCGTGATGTCACTATGGCTACCTACCTGCACTGATGTCACTATGGCTCCCCACCTGCCGTGATGTCACTATGGCTCCCTACCTGCCGTGATGTCACTATGGCTTCCCACCTGCCATGATGTCACTATGGCTCCCTACCTGCCGTGATGTCACTATGTCTCCCTACCTGCCGTAATGTCACTATAGTTCCCCACCTGCCATGCTGTCACTATGGCTCCCAACCTTCCGTGATGTCACTATGGCTCGCTACCTGCCGTGATGTCACTATGTCTCCCTACCTGCCGTAATGTCACTATGGCTTCCCACCTGCCGTGATGTCACTATGGCTTCCCACCTGCCATGATGTCACTATGGCTCTTTACCTGCCGTGCTGTCACTATGGCTACCTACCTGCCGTGATGTCACTATGGCTTCCCACCTGCCGTGATGTCACTATGGCTCGCTACCTGCCGTGATGTCAGTATGGCTCCCTACCTGCCGTGATGTCACTATGGCTCGCTACCTGCCGTGATGTCACTATTGCTTCCTACCTGCCGTGATGTCACTATGGCTTCTTACCTGCCGTGCTGTCACTATGGCTCTTTACCTGTCGTGCTGTCACTACATGGCTCTTTACCTGCCGTGATGTCACTATGGCTCCCCACCTGCCGTGATGTCACTATGGCTCCCTACCTGCCGTGATGTCACTATGGCTTCCTACCTGCCGTGATGTCACTATGGCTCCCTACCTGCCGTGATGTCACTATGGTTTTCCACCTGCCATGATGTCACTATGGCTACCTACCTGTTGTGTTATCACTTTTGGCCCCCTCCCCCATGTTGTTGCTTGAATCCCATCATGTCATCATGTTGATATTGCTCCCAGCCTGCTATGGTATTGCTAATGCTCCCACTCTCCTATCCTGTTGCTATGGCTTGTTTCTATGATCTTGCTGTGCCTCAAGTCTGCATGTGCATGCAGCCTACACGGACTGTTAAGCAGAGAATTTACTAGGTGCGTTTACAATTACAGACGTTTTGAAGTACTTTGCGGGATGTAAGCAGATCACTATGGCATGTTTTTTGTTTCATAATTCGATTTTTTGTTTTATGGTTGATTTTATCACATATATAACATTCGATTTATCACATATAACATTCGATTTATCACATATAACATTTGATTTATCACATATAACATTTGATTTATTGCATATAACATTTGATTTATCGCATATAATATTTAATTATTTAATCATATGTTATATGCAATAAATCGACAATAATTTTCTTCCAAAAGTATAATTGCATCATTTGATACCACATACCACATGATCGATGCCTGTTAATTCGATTGTAGTAGGCATTTACTGTTTTAAATGTTCACATTATTTGATTTTATATCAGAAAAGAGAATCAAACCATTCGATCCTGGCATCAAACCATTCGGTTTTGGAAACAAACCATTCAATTATGGAATAGAATCGTTCAATTTTGGAATCGAATCATTCGATCTGTATTATGTAGATCCCTCCTGCACGCAGCGCATTGAACGATGCGACTCTGAATCGCATTATTCGATCCATGAATCGAAGCATTCGATCCGTGAATCGAAGCATTCGATCCGTGAATCGAAGCATTCGATGCGTGAATCAAAGCATTCGATTCGTGAATCGAACCATTCGATCTGTGAATTGAAGCTTTCGATCCAGTCAATCAAGCCATTTGATTCGCGTGATCAAATAATGCGATCTGCTAATATGAATGTCTTCGATGTGAATCGAATATCAAGGAACAATATCAAAGGTAACATTTCAACATGCATATGTGATTTTAGCTCATATATACATCGAACAAAACATTAAACGAATCGACCGATTAACAAAATAGAATTATGAAACAAAAAACATGCCATAGATCACACACTCAATTTGCACTCACATTTGAGAAACTATTTTGTTGTAATCCAACCAGCCCATCAAAATATTTTGACAGAGGTGCATTTTAACAGATTTATTATTTGACTGGTGTTTTTTTTAACATGGCAGTATTATCTATGCATCCAACAGGCAGTTTCTCGCACATGGAATGTTAATGGTACTTGCTTTTCAACAAGTTTCAATTAAATCTAAATTCGTTATGATATTTTGTGGCAAGCAGACATGACAGAAAAGTCGGTGTTTAGTAAGCAGCGGTTCTTAACCTGGGGGTCGTTTAGGGTTTTTCCGGGGGTCATGAAGGGGTCATAAATGAAACAAATTCATTTAAATTCTATATAATTATCAGGTTGCAACAAAAATTTCCTCATTTGGCCGTCCAAGTGAAAAAAAATTTTATCTCCTGATAGCTGCGAAGCTATTTAGCCATCCCATTGACTGAGTATTGGCAGACATGTCTTCATAAATCGGGCTGTTTTTTTAACATTTTTGTGGGGGGGGGGTCGCGGTACTGACCAAGAATGTCTGATGGGGTCGTGGGGCCAAAAAGGTTAAGAACCACTGCTCCAGAGCATTACAATCTACTATTTATTTAGTGTTTTATCAGCCCACTGGCAAATATCTACTATATAATAGTAGAAAGAGCCGAAGTGTCAGGAGGAGATACGGAAAAATCGAAAAATCGCGTTCTAACGTAGCGGAATGTATTCGGGACGTCCAGAAGGGGCACCAGCTTGATTCGCGTGAGAATACGTGGCACGGTTTCGATAAAGTCACTTTTTGACGCAATTTTCTAAAAAGTTATGTGCCCGAACAAACTTCGGCATTCATCGGAAACCCGCACCAAATTTTAAGATCGCCAAATCCGCATGCGCACACACGCACACACCAAAGCCATTGCGGCTGCGGTGTATAAACAACCAAGCACTGCCGCGCACAGCTGTGAGGCGAAAATTTAAGAGAAACCCCAACGAGAGACGGTTACAGTTGTATGTGTGTGTGTGTGTGTGTGCGCGCGCGCGTGCGTGCGTGCGTGCGTGCGTGTATATGTGTGCGCGCCCGTGTGTGTGTAAATG